CAATGGTCTAACGACTACGGCATGCATGACTATGATTACACCCCTCCCCCCCCCGCAGGGAAATATATCACTCCGTTCCGGCATTGGGTGGATGCAAGGTCAATGGTCTAACGACACGGCATGTGTTTACGTGAGTGTACCCCACCATCACCCACCCACCCCCCCCGAGATGCTCACCCCGTGGTGAAGTCCGAAGGGGGGCAGGACACCACGTCGTCCGAGTGGATCACGCTGACCTGCTTGAACATGCGGCCGACGCGCTGGGCGACGGTAGTCTTGCCGGTGCCGGGGACCCCCGTGAAATAGAAGCTGAGGTTGATGGCCTACAGGGCGCCGAAAAGCGCGGGGAAGGGAAAGGGGACACGGCTAATTTGCTCGCGAGGACGTTTTGTACGCGAAGGTTTCTGGGACATTGCGGGAGGGTGACGGAGGAGGCAATATGGCCGCTTTCGTTTGTATCTGGGTGCAATTGTTGTTGCTGCCTTGATTGATGTCGGTATTTTGGGGGGCACGTGTATGAACGTGCAGGGATCAAATCCTTTGTTCCACTGGGAACGTCAGGGCGTCTGAAAGTGCTAAAAATTCACGACGTACCGACCCGCAAGGAGAGAGAGAGAGCGCTCGGTATTGCCGAGAAGCAGGCACGCACCTCACGAGGGTCGCGGCCGAGTCTCTGTGCGCGGACAAACGTCGAGCGGATCCGCGTCAGCTGCAGCTTGATGTCCGCGCAGCCGATGAGGTCGCCGAACAAGTCGTCTTCGAGAGCGGCGCCATCCATTGGGCCGGCCCCGTATTCCGGATCGAAGTCTTGCGGCAGGAGCTCCGGGTCCAGCCTGCGTGTGTGGGAGCTTTGTGCGTGGTGCATGGTGGGTGGAAATCGGTCGACAAGAATCCAATACGCCGCCGTCCACGCAATTATTGGCTGGCGATGCGCCGCGCGCACCTTGCCGTTGAGTATCTTCACGTACCCGATGTTATTTTTGGTACAAGTTTTCCGTTCGAATCGCCGTTCTCCCTCATGGAACTATGAACACCGCTGTCTAGGGGGACCCGTGGTGGACAATCACGACGGCAGAAAGTCGTGCGTGGTGCACGGGGAGTGGCATCCACGGGCCGCCTCCCCTCCTAGTCCACGCACCAAAATACGAATAAAAACTGTGCGTTTTCACTGCAGCAGTCACTGTAATCCTGACTGTTCCGGCGGATATCCTCTTTTGCAACAATCAACAGGCAACACCCTCCCACACGGCCACCCGCGAACGAGTCGTTTCATTGATCATGGTCGCCCCCCCGTTCCACGAGGAACTTTAAAACAGGCAACACTCTCCCACACGGCCAACCGAGAACGAGCCATTTTATTGATCATGGTCGCCCCCCTGTTCCACGAGGAACTTTAAGACAGGCAACACCCTCCCACGCGGCCAACCGAGAACGAGCCATTTCATTGATCATGGTCGCCCCCCCGTTCCACGAGGAACGTTGCAACGGCTTCATACCTGGCTTCCAAAGAGCCGTCCTTGCGGTGGTTCTCCTTCCGGACTCCTTCCGGAGCTTGGCCTCGCTCAGCAGGTTGGCCACCTCGCCGCCGTTGCCGAAGTGCGAGGCCGTCTTGCGCTTCTTCCTGAGCACGTCGGCGGCGGCCATGAGGGCGTCCACTCCGGCGGTGAGGTGCTCTCGACGGAGCTTCCCGCGGAGGATGCTGAGGAGCTCTTCGTCTGCATGATGAACACACACGGCGGGCAGGCACGCAGAACATCATGAGAACAAGGTGTTTCATGTGTGCGTATGCGTGTATCGAGCGGTTGATAACAATTAAATGGCGGCAGGCACAATAACACAGCAGTAAGGCGTTGGTGTGCGTGTGTTGCGAGCGTTGGCGAGCGACGGGAGGGAGCGCCGTCACCGTGGAAGGCGACTGAGGGATCCTGCCTCGACATCGTGAGATGCCTGTGATCGTCACGTCTACTTTCGTAGTACCGTCCTTTGCGTGGAAACACCTGGAGAAAAGCTATCATCTATTTTCTGTACAGCTGGTCAGGGAGCCAGACCGTGTGTGGGCAATCCTCAACGTGACGGAACTTTGAAGTCAAAACCGGCCGCCTAAACAGACGCCTTCAAAGCCCATTTCCACCGCAAGCTAACAACAACCAAAACGTGCGTGTTTGTCTCTTTTTCGTCAGATCGAGCGGGTCAAAACACACGGCGGGTAGGCGCGCAGAATATATCAACAACGAAGTTCCAGGCTGAATATTTGGCCGTGTGGGCATGGCCGAAACTGCTTGGACCACAAAAAGAAACATCTCCTGCACTGCAAAACAATGTTAAGCTCACCCCGCAGAACAAGAAAAATCACACATTCTCACGCGCCCTTGTAGTTCTCGAAGCTGAAGGCGTTGTCGAGGGCGAACCTCCTGGCCAGCCCGGGGTTGGCGTCGCGCATGAACTCCTCCATCTCCGCGCGGTACCCCAGCAGCAGCACGCACCGGTCCTCCCCCGGCACGTTCTGCACCTGTTCCACGAGCGTGTCCACCACGGCGGTGCGGTACGGGTCTTCGCCGCTGCCCCCCTTGCCGCCGACGCCGCTCCCGGCGCGGAGGGAGTAGGCCTCGTCGATGACCAGGACGCAGCCCTCGGCAGCCTTGAGGATGGCGCGGGTCTTGGACTCGCTCTCGCCGAGGACGGAGCCGACGAAGTCGGACGCGGTCTTGAGGACCACCTCGCCCTTGGGGAGGAGCCCGAGGTCCGCCAGAATGCCATCGATTAGCTTTGCCACCGTTGTCTTGCCTGGGTTAGTGGCGCGCCCGACGGGGTGGCGTGAGTTGGGGAATCAGACAAATTTATCAGGTAATGTTGGAAATAGTGTGTCATCGCCAGGAGAAAGGACGGGGGGGCAACGTTGTCTGTGTCATCCATGGTAAACACCTTGGTTTAAAAAATGGGTCACATGGAACGGGTGTGCGTATGCCCCTTCCCGCTTCCGCCCTCCTCATCTGGTGAAATGTCTTCGTTTCGGGAAAATCTTCTGCACGACAGACACGCGAGCGTTCGAACAACCGTCACCCCAGCGGTTCACTATAAGCTAGAATCACAGAAATAGAGGGCCTTGGTGTTAGCACGCGGATTCAGGGTGAGAAGCTCCTCACCAGTGCCCGGGTTCCCGAGCATGCATCTGTTGAGCGCGATGTTCCTCGGCGGCTTGCCGGCCTCCTCCAGCACGCGGTTCGTCTGCACCACCTCCGCCAGCGCCAGCACCGCGCTCTTCACCGCGCCAAGCCCGACCATGTCCCGGAGGGTCCTCCAGCTCTCCGACTCATCGAGGCTCGAGACCGACCAGCCGAGGAGATCCGGCTTTGTAAGCTCATACGGGTCGTCGTCGTCGTCGTCGTCGTCGTCGTCGTCGTTGCCGTTGTCGTTGTCGTTGTCTCCGCTGCTGAGGCGGCTCGCCTGCCGCTCGAGGACCTGGTCGAAGAGCACCTGAACAGCGCGGGCGTTCCCGAATCCGCGGGACCCCCTCCGCCGACCGAGCCGAGCGATGGCCACCTTGGCCCACCTCTCCGGGTCCTCCTGCTCCGCAGAATCACCGCAGTGGAGCGTACCCAGCCCTTTCTTCTTAGCCATGAGCCCCTTGAAGATCTCGAGGAGGAGGGCGTCGCTGTAGTCCTCGAAACGCAGGACCTTGGGGAAGCGGCTGGGAAGGCCTTCGTTGAACTCGAAGAGGGACTCCATGTTCTTGGCGTAGCCGGCGAAGGCCACGACGAGCTCCCCCCGGCGGTTCTCGATCTCGGCTAGCAGGAAGTTGACAACCTTCTTCCCGCCGCCGCCCGATTGGGGCTCGAGCGTGTGCGCCTGTTCGAGGGTAGATACAAAAAAAAAGAGATGTTCACAGGTGTCCTCAACGGAACCAAGACTGATTGTGTGTGGCCAACAACTCAGGCTACGCAAGGGCCAGTCTGGCACGCGCGTTTGGCCTAGGTTATAGGCACTGGCCAAGTTTTGACCATTGACGTACAAGTCATTTGAAAACAACTTTGCTATCACCCATGAAGGGGTAGTGTGACTCGGCCGCTCCGTCGTTATCTGAGAAACAAACCCAACCTCGCTGTTGGGGTGGTTTCGGCAAATCTTCTCCGCTTCAAACTTCGACTATTGTCCGTTTGAGCGTGCAGTTTCTCCGTAAGAGCCTTCCTACTTCATCTCTCGCTGTTTGGGCATACGTTGTTCCCGATGGTGTTGTGCATCATGATGTGCTCCTCGCAAGAGACAGTTGGATGCGGTTTAGCCACCGTTCTTTCTGCATTTTTCGTGCGAAACGCCCTGGTGACCGCGTTTTTGGTGAGCTTACCCTGGCTCAGCATAACAGTTGGGGTGGTGCCACCGCATTCATTTGCTCACGATTTGTCTTCCACAGATGGTAACTACCAACTTCGCTATGCTGGAAAACATTCCGTCCAACTTCACCCTGAACATAGTCTTGTTCCGGTTAATTTGGTGCGCAGCGATGGCTCCCCAGCCCTCGTAGGTAACTATCTCGCGGATATGCTTCCACAATGTGCAATGTTTTCTTCCGAGGAACATTTCGTGCAAAATGGTTGCCAACGAATCCCGTTCGCGGGCATAGCTTCCCTCGAACCAGGCGACATTTGAGGTACAGCTTCGGCTCCCCTTCTTCGCGTGCCTCTCAGCGCTGTGTCTCGCCACAGTTTGAGCGATGGTCTTCAATCTGCGGCTCAAGATCCCACCGCTGCTTCGGGCAACTGGGCTCCGGATCCTGTTTCGACTGGTGGCATTGAGTCGTCTGCCAAGCATCGCATTGATGACCCTTTGTGTATAATTTGTACGAGCGACCCACGCCGTCGCACAGCGACAAAGAGGACCCTGGTTCTGCCAGTGCTTCTCTTTCATCGCTTCCGCCTGCTCTTCTCGAGCGGTTGACGTCCAAACAACGTCATAGTTTTTCCCGCGTGTTGGATAAGCTCCCCTGCCATCTCCGTGATATTTCTTTCGATCTCCATGGTCCGGGTTGGACTCCAGATGTCATCACTCAGCTTGGCAACGTCCTGTGCGAATATCATGATGTCTTCTCGAGTTGCCCATCCGACTTTGGATCCTGTTCGCTTCTTCCTTTCAAGCTTACAGTTCCTCCAGGCAGTGCACCCGTCACGTCTCGTCCGTACCGCCTTAATCCCCCGGTGGCGAAACAAGTTGACGCGATCCTTGATCAATATTTTGCGGCTGGTTTGATCCAACATTCAACCTCGCCCTACTCGAGTCCTTTGGTAGTCATACCGAAGAAATCTGGTTGTGTTCGCATCACTGCCAATTATCGCAAGCTCAACAAGCATTGTGCTTTGAGTCAGCTTCCGATCCCTCGAGTTGATACTTTGGACAAGTTGTTGAAAGGGCGAATTTATTCCCTGTTTGACATGAAGTCTTCGTTCCAACAAGTCACGGTCCACCGTGATACAATCCCGTTGACGGCGTTTGTGACGTCGTCCGGGCTTTTTGAGTGGTTAGAGATGCCTCCCTGGGTGGTTTTGCAAGATTGTCAACGAAGTCATCAAAAACCTCCACGGTGTTGCATCGTACTTGGATGATTTGATCGTTTTCGACGACAACCCTGCTTCTCATGTTGACACCATGCGCGCTCTTTTTGAACGTTTGCGTACACACAACTTGAAACTCACTCCACCGAAGGCCACCATCGGTGCTACAGAAGCGGACTTCCTCGGCCACACCATACCTCCCTACGGTGTTCAGCCTAACGGGGCCAAGGTTGCGGCCCTAACCAAATGCCCATGCCCAAGGATGTTAAACAACTTCGCTCTCTTCTCGGCGGCCTCAGCTATTACCGCAAGTTCCTTCCCAACATGGCTACACGTATTCGGCCTCTGACTACTCTTCTCAAGAAGCAGGCGACGTTCGTCTTCACCCCTGCCATGGAGCAAGCTGTTTGCGTCCTGCTATCTGAGTTGGCCAACCCTCCTGTCTTGGTTTATCCGGATTGGGATGCCGTTTCGGACGGCTCGCGACCTTTTCGTCTCTACTGTGATGCTAGTCGCGTTGGGTTCGGTGGGACTCTCGAAAAAGGAGAGCCGGATGGCTCCATCCGACCAATCGTCTCCATCAGCCGAGCTACTTTGGACTCCGAACGTTATTGGATTCCCTTCGACCTCGAGGCGGGTAGCATCGTGTGGTCCATCAAACGACTTGGCGGTTATTTGTGGGGTACGAAATTCCGCATTTTTGCCGCCCACAAATCTCTTGAGCACTTTGCCAAGGTGGAGACCAATGCCCGCGTTTAGCGTTGGCTCGAATTTCTTACCGCCTACAATTACACTCTCGAGTACCGCAAGGGTTCAGCAAATGGGATCGCTGATTTCCTCTCTCGTGTTCCGATCGATGCGGCGAATTGTGACCGATCTGGTCGCAGTCGCTTGACACCGAATGACGATGAGGAGAGCGTGTTCTTCATCAGTTCTTGTGGCCTTGCGCCTTCCGGCCATCGCGCCGTGGGTCTTGGCGTGGGTGGGCTCGTCCCCAAAACCCCGGCTTCGGTCTTGGGTGGGCTGGCCCCCTCTACAGCTGACTTCTTCGACTTCCGTCGGCATGGTCCACGTCTCTCGCCATCAGGCCTCTCGTCTCCGCCTGGCATCTGGAACATCGCACCCTGGCCGTCCAAGAAACTCCGCGAGTTGCCTCCTTCAAGACTGCGTAAGCGGACTCCCCTAGTTTGGCCTGGCTCCCTACACCCTTCGGTGGAGGATGTTATGGCTCTCCAGCCCGAGTCTCCCCTGACCGTCTCGCCGACCGCCACATTACGACGGACTCTCGACCCCACTCAAGTGATTTCCACGCGAACTCGTCGCCTTACGGCGGTCGTGGCAGGCAAGCCTCTCCCGCCCGTGGATTATGGCTTCTCTGAGGACCCACCTGCTCCCACTCGGATTTCCGCTTCGCCTCGATCGTTTCGACGTTCTCGCCTTCAGCTTCGACTATGCCCCCCGTCTTGACCAAGTTGGTTTCGACTCCTGGTACTGGTGGTTCGATCCCGGATCCTCCTACGCCTCTGGCTCGTGGAAGGGATCTTGCATCTTCGACGCATACTGCCACTTCGGTGGATCCTACCCCGCAGTCTTCTGCTGCCCCTGATTCTTCGGAATCTTCGACGACTTCGGTTTCGACCACTCGTACGCCTTCGTCCTCGGTTTCCGGTGCCACTCTGCCTTCAGGTGGATTGCAGTCGAAACCTCACGAATCGGCCCGGTCTTCGATCGAGGCGGCTTTACATTCTTCGGCGGATTTAGCCTTCCGGGCGTCTGTCGAACGTTTCTCGCATTCTGATTGAGCTCGCGAGCAACGTAACGAACCTGTGTGTGATGCAGCAACTCGTTTCATCCTTCTTGGTCGGCCTTAGGCTCTCTCTTCGGATTTCCTGGATCATCTTCCGTCCGCTCGTCGACCTTCTCTGTCGGAGATCCGTGACCTGTCTAACAAAGGCCGGCTACACGTCGACGATGATGCCTTGATCTTGCTTGTTCGCAAGCCAACAGCGCCCCCGTTGTCCACGACCACACGTCCTGGCGGGCGTGCTGCTCGCCTCCTCAACGACGAACCTATTCGGATTCATGTTCCCATGCTCATGCGTCCCTGGATCATGCAAGCCTGTCACGCTGATGCATTCTGCCATGTCGGTGCCGCTCGCACGCACGTTATGCTGGAACGTTTTTATTGGTGGGTTGGCATGCGTGTTTGCACGAAGTGGTGGGTGCGGCATTGTTTGCGATGCCAAGCCCGCAAATCATCTCGTCAGACGCCTCAATGGACTACTTTGTGCCTCCCGCTGCCTTCGGGCCCTGGTGTGTCGGTGAGCGTCGATTATTTCGGCCCCCTCGCGTTGACACCACGTTGAAACACATATATTCTGCTTTTCACTGATCGTTTCAGCCGCCGTGCTGATATGTACGCGGTTACGGCTGCAGAATTCACCGTCGAAGGCACCGCTGACATACTTGTCAATCGGTATATCCCTTTGTGGGGTTGCCCTTTGAGTCTCTTGTCTGACAATGGCTCTCGGTTTTGTTCAAAACTGCCGCAGGCTGTGTACGCCCGTCTGGCCATTCGCAAAGTGCCTACTAGCTCTTACCATCCCAACGGCAATGGAGGTGTGGAGCGTGTCAATCACACTATGGCTCGAATGTTGGCTATGGTCGTCAACGAGAAGATGGTTGGGACATTCATCTGCCGCACGTTGAGTTTGCCTACAACAAATCGGTTAGTGCCGCTACTGGTTTGGCGCCCAACTAGGTGCATATGAACCGACTGCCGCGCATGCCGATGACGGTTTTTGAGTATCCATATGCTCGAGGCCACCAAAGCTTTCATCGCGATCAACTTGAGTATTGCGATCTTGCTGCTGATCGCCGACGTCGTTCTTACGATCTAGTTCGTGAACAGCACCACCTGTCTGTTTCGCGGATTGAGCGGCGTAACTCCGCTCTATCGGATGCTTTACGTAAGGTTCCCTCTTCCACCGTCGGTGGATGGGTTTGGGTGCACAACACCGAATCTACCATTCGCCAAGGTGTTCGTTCGGGCACGGATGACAAAGTTCTCAAGGCGAAGTTGTCTTTCCTCTGGACTGGTCCGTTCAAGATCTTGGCCGTGGGTCCGTGTCCCGACGCTCCCGATGGTTGTCCTTTCGCTTCGAAATTGCGTTACTTTATCGCGAGAAGGGTCCAGCCGTCCCTTTCCCTCGTCAACGGTGCTAACGTCGAAGTTTGGTACTCACGAGAACTTGTCAGCTATATTTCGCTTTCACCCGCACATTTCGTAATTTTTTCACCCCATGGGGATTCGAACTTACGACCTCTGCGACTAGCGTTTGTATGGTTCCGAAAACAGTGTCGACCAAAAAGTGTCTCCCTCACCCTATTACTGTGGTGGCATCGCCCGATAGCGGCGATTTGTTTGGCGGTGTTGATCAGGCGAACCCGTCCAGGACCGGAGGATGTGTGGCTTGGAGTACTGGAGATCCATCTCACGTTCCCAAGAAGGGCGAAGAAGACCTTTCCAATGCGTTTGGTATTAGACAGCCGCAGTGCCACCACGACCACGAACAGACTAATGTCCACTAATGCGGTCAACCTCTAGACGTTCGACCGGAGTCGAGACGTCGACTTCCTTCCGTAACATGGTAGGGAGGAGATTTATTCGCATAGATGGGAGTTCAGCACATACGGTGTAAGGCCGGCAGGCAGCAACCGAGGCAAGTCGTCAGTGTCATGTGGATTAGCGCAAGGCTTGCAACGCGCAACCGACACACGATTTTTCGAGTCGTGACGCGGCAGATCCAAAGGTAGGTCCAAAACAAAAGTTCAGCACGCACCGCAGGAGGAAGGTGGGGCATGAAAAGAAATATAAAGAAGAAAAAAGCCCTGGTGTTTACGGCCTCCTGTGTGACCCTGGATGGTTGTAGTTGTACGAAAAATACACTGAAANCGTGACGCGGCAGATCCAAAGGTAGGTCCAAAACAAAAGTTCAGCACGCACCGCAGGAGGAAGGTGGGGCATGAAAAGAAATATAAAGAAGAAAAAAGCCCTGGTGTTTACGGCCTCCTGTGTGACCCTGGATGGTTGTAGTTGTACGAAAAATACACTGAAAAGTGTAGTACTGTACATGCGCTGAAAAGTGTAGTACACGTGTCACCACGAAAAACGGGGGGACTGTCGCCATTATAAATAGGACGAAAACACACACAAACAACAACGAACGGAACACGGTAGTTAGTGCCCGCATCCCAGAGGACCACATATATATATGTATATATTGTATGCGGCCACTTGGAGGTAGCAGCATGATGAACCTAAGAGGAGGCCAGGAGGGATAAGACAAACCAGAGAAGCAAACACAGGATGCAGGATCTAATGTGGAGGACGCGAACAACACCTGCTTTTCCGACAAAAAATCTGAGACCGTTTTGGGCAGCTCTTGAAATTTCTCGAGATTATTACATGTGTTTTTTTCGATTAAAATGGCATCAAGAATTGACCGAGTTATGCCACAACAACTGGGTATTTGCCTTAACTTCTCCTGCGACAACCAGCCTACCGTTTTTAGAATAGAGTGCGGCAAACGATTCCTCTCGACATTACAGATAGCGCCCGCACATAATAATTTAGCTGTTAAGAAATTGAGACTCCCCGACGTCGCCCATAGGGACGGCTCCTTTGGTTCCACGGAATACGCGTAGGAGATACGACGGAGCTCGCGGATGGTCTTTGCGTTGGGCATGCGCGAACTCGACCTGGTGACAGCAGGTGCCGACGTGGACCCTTGTTCACCACCCTGCTGTCACCTGACCTTGTGACAGCAGGCAATGAATGCGTTCACCGGTAGGAACCACGGTCCCTTTGTTGAACAACGCGAGGGAGTCTACAGAACAGGTCTTGTCCTTCATGAGAACTTTCTCCGCCCACTTGGTCTGCTGGTCCACGAACTTGGTGGCGTACTTGAATCCGCTGTAGGTTTGAAGGAGCCGAGGGTGTCGACGGAAACGTGCTGGAACGGGCGCAGGACGCCGTAGGTGGCCTGCGTGGGGTGAAGTTGTTGTGCGCTCTTTCCGGGCGGCAGACACTACAGTCCTTCACGTCTCCGGTGTAGTCGACGCCGTTGACCGGTTGTTTCCTTAGAACGTCCAAGCTCTTGCCGTTGATGTGCCCCATGCGCCGGTGCCAGAGATCAGCGGACTCCACCTTCAAGGCGAGGGCATCAGGGGCGTCTTCGAGGACCGTCGGGCCCCCAGGTTCACCCCCTAGCTTTACCTCGATTGAGTAGATGCGTTTTCCGGTCGTGGCGTCCACCCCAAGGATTTGCATGGGGATAACCACGTCCCCCGACTCCAACCTGGGATTGTCCGGATGAAACAACGTCGCCACCCCCTTTAGCATCGCCAATGTCACGGAGAAGAGGTTGGTGCCCAGCTCTGGTACCAAGATGACGCGAAAGGAGACGTGCCGGTCGTTCCCATTGTCGTCCGTGACGGCGCCGAAGATAGTCCCCGTCGTAACGCCTTTGAGGACATGCTGGCCCGCGGCGACGATCGTGTGTAGGACCCGGAGGTGTTCGACGTCGCGCATGTGAGCCCGCAATCCTGGTGTAAGCCCAGGGTCGAGGTAGTTGTCTGTCGCCCACTATCCACAACCATCCGGATGGACGATCCGTCGGAGCGAAAAGGAGCAAGCGACAAGTCTGCATGAGTCGCCATGAACGCACCGAAGGACCCTGGAGGCAGTCGGTGGTCCT